CCCCCCCCCCCCCCCCCAGTATCACAGAGAGGAAATAAGGTGACACTGACCCCTCCTCCTATTTTTCAAGGTGACTTTTCCAGTTTATTTAATTCCGAGTAGAAATGTCTGGAAAAATTCATGTCTTTGATGTACTTTATAATCTTCAGAATTCTGCTAGATTTCACTCCCAAAATGCTTGAAATCGCAATTCAGGGACCCTAGATTTCAAAATTTTCTCGGGGGTGCATGCCCCCGGACCCTCCTAGACGGTCTCACACTTCAGCGTGCATGAGGTTCGCCCTCCCCCCTCAAAAAAAATTAAGGTCTGCCTACGCCTCTGGTTATAGCTGTACGATTATAGCTACAAAGAGTTGAAGTTATTAAAGTAAAATATAGGTGATTAAAGTTTTACCGCAAAATCTCTCTTCAGACTCGCGCGTTCGCCAAACCTCGACGGCTCATATTTTTCGTTCTGCCTTTTTTTCCTGTTTTGCTCCCCCCCCCACCCAGTGAAAATTCCTTAAAAAAGGCCCGCGCGGGAATTGATAGCTCTGGTCACCACCACTGAGGTCACCACCGCTTTATGACTTGTTTTTGATCTGTTACCGCTTTTATGACTTGTTTAGTTGTTTTTGATCGATTCGTCATTTTCAGTTTTCTTTCAAACCATAGTAAATTAGTAATGTCCATCTCAATGAAGTATATAAGGGTTTATCAGAGATTTATGTTCATATACTGATATACACATCACAGAGCAGACAAATTAAAGTAATAAGGCCACATAAAAAAATTACTTGTTTAGCGTCCACCCATTTTAATTTTTCTAGGTCGGGCGGGCGGGGTTTTTTTTTCGTAAAATGCAACACAAAATTCTGCTAAATGCAGGAAATCCAGTATACTACCACAGTCAAAACTCACTTTAATTCTTTCAAAATTCGTTCATGTTTTTTAATACGTACCATGTTCATGTTTTTAATAAAACAGGAAATTACCGTTTGGCACTTTGGCGGTCACGCGCGAACACTTTACCTGCGAACAGGCATATTCTGGGAAGGAAATACTTTGTGTAAACGTATTGCATAGCTCCCGGAAGAATAAAATCACCATTCAAGTAAAACGGTCTTTTCCGATAGAGAGTTTTTGCACTAAACTCGGACGGATTTTGTAAAAAAAAAATTGGAGGTCGGAGACTTTTATCAGGTCGGGCGGGGACGCTAAACAAGTAATTTTTTTATGTGGCCTAACTCTAATCCTCTATTTGGTAAACATTGAGTCACAAATACTTGGGAATTTGTATAACAAACAGTATTGTTGGGCATTTTCAAAAGCATGCTAGAAAGATCAGTCCAATAAATTACGACTACAATATCAATAGCCTTATTTTGCAGCACGGAAACTCCGAATATAATAAATTATAAAGCTATCATGGCAGAGGTATTTTAATACTGTCTTACTTTGCCAATATAAAGTATGGCACATGTCTATCAAACCCCTTTTGACTAATTGTCGAGCAAAACAACCGAATTAATATGCTATTGTTAGAACCTGAATAGTTCATGCACTGCATAACAACGACGTGAAATACAGTATATATTATAATTAAATGTCTTATTGTTGCTATAGCTACCCATGTGCTATAGAATAAAACTTGTGATTAAAATTTCGATTTTGTTCTAATTTTACCTGTTATAAGAGCTTTATTTGCGACATAGAGGCGAGATCTAGGTGTTCTATACTCAATTTCTTCACGAGGTTTCTGGGAAAAGATCGTACGTTTTCAAATTGCTTGTCTGTTGGAGTCAGTTTGGAATATTTTGGATTTGTCTTGCCGAGAGGAAGAATTAAGTGGGGTCTAGCCAGAGCCGGATCTACTCATATCCTGTAAGTTTTGTATGCATGGTTTTGTAAAAGATTTCCCACGTTCAAACTGATGTTTAAATATCTCTTCGACCCACATAAAGAAACGATACTGGGAACGCAGCAGGTTATCTTTTATCATATCATTTATAGACTTCATACCTTGATATGACTGCAAAATGAAGCAAGAGGTCATATAAAGTAAACAAGATGGCTTATTAAAAACTCGTGATATCCGGCAGGTTTAATTTTTATCACAAAATTTTAATATAATATGGCTGTACGAGCAGCCCAAACTGTTGTCCCCAAACTAGTGACCTTTTATAAGAATGGAGACAAGTTTTTTAGAGGCTATAAACTAGCTATTACTCCTCAGAAGTATCGTAATATGGAAACATTGCTGAATGATCTTACACGGTTATTAAACCTACCGCTTGGAGCAAGATATGTACTCACAAAGACTGGAAAAGCTGTGGAAAATTTACAAGAATTTGAGCATGGTCAGGGGTATATTTGTTCGTCATTTCCCAAACTCAAGAATTTGAGATATGGCGTTGGTGACAATCTTCCATATTGGAATTCTTCGAAGAATGCCAACAAAGACAAAACCACATCACAATCGACCAAGCATTACAAAAATTTCAAAGGCCATTCAGATGAGGCATCGCCTAGGAGACGATCAGATACTATCAAACCTAGAATTATAACAGTTATACGTTATGGCCATAAACCTAGAAGAAGTGCAAATGTTTTATTAAACAAACGAACTGCTCAGACCCTAGACCAAGTGTTAGACGAAGTGACTACAGCTATTGGAGTTTGGGGAACGAATGGCGTTCGACGTTTGTATGATCTCACTGGCAAACGTGTGAATGACCTATCAGATCTTTTCAAGCAAGATGATTGTTTTATTGCTGTTGGAAATGAAAAATTACATTTGTCTGACTTAGAGGACATTGTACATGGTTTTCACTTGAAACAGTCACAGAAGACAAGATTACCATCAATCAATAGTACTGAGGAAAGTGATGTTAGTCAGCCTGACCAACACAAAGTAACACCGCGTAAACTGCAATCTAAGAATTCTGTAAAACTACCTACAATCAGGAGAAAAAGTAATAATGATAGTAAAGTAAGCTCTCCTAATGTTGACATTGAATTTAAAGAAAATAAAGTGCAGAAACAAACTGCAAATAGCCCCCCAAAGGAAGGAAAGATAAACAGTCCTCGGAATAATCAGAACAGTAGAAGTAGTGGGAATAATCAGGCATTAAAGGATGCAAACAACAAAAATAATTTGAATGACAGTGCTAAAATTTCCCAAGGAGAGGCAAAGAATTCATCAAGGAGTCATGGCCTGGCATCCAGCTGGGACGAAAATAATGAATCAAGAAAAAAAGTGGAGAATGTGGAGGATGTTTACACAGTGGGGGAAAAAATTGGTGATGGTAATTTTGCCATAGTCAGGATTGGTATAAACAAGGACACCAAACAAAAACATGCTTTGAAAATTATTGATAGAAAGAAAATAATTGGAAAAGAAAACATGTTGAAAGATGAAATAAGAATCATGAAAGCATGTAATCATGAGAATATTGTGAAGTTATACAACACGCTTGATACTAAATTTGATGTTTATTTGGTAATGGAACTTGTTACAGGTGGCGATCTGTTTGATGAGATTTCTAATGCTGTCAAATTTGAAGAACAAGTTGCAAGTTCATTTGCCCAAGATATTGCAAATGCATTGGATTATCTTCATAAGCAGAATATTGTCCATCGAGATTTGAAACCAGAAAACTTACTGGTAAGGAAATTTGATTTAATTATTTTAAACGTATTATGGGTTGTTGTTTTCATTGAAAAAGCTGTTTTGAAGGACTGATCTCTATATATTATAATTTATACCTAGTTTAATTTAGTTGTCAAGTGGTAAGGCAACAGATTTAAACATATCTCGAAGGTATTTCTGAAGGAGAGTGGGGGGGGGGACTTGATTTGTTATTGTCTTTACTCAACACAGAAGTGATAGGAACTTGAGACAATGACAGTTGCAACTTGTGTGTTTCGATAATTCGATTGCAATTTGCACTGAGCAATTTGCCAGTCAACATTGCAATTTGACTGACATGGTAAAATATTCATCTTGCCTGGGTGTTATCCCGCCTCTTTCTGCCGGGATTGATCTCACCCTTGCCAAGTAACTCACTTCGCTGGGTAATTCACCCCCATATAAACAGACAGCCCTATAAAGCAGGCCTATAATATAATTATTCCTAATGAAGGAGTACTGTGACTTAGGGCCTGTTTACATGTCTTACATAGCCAGCGTGGCTGGCTCTTTTATAAGTAGAGCCTGCCCGAAAGCCCTAGTAATATTGATACTGCCTACTTAGTTAATATTCCATATTAACACCGCCCACTCAAAATAGTTTTGTATAAATGATGACTAATGAAATGTCAATTGTTGCATATTTACTATAGCCTGCGCTACATGCTTTCAATAAACTTTTTACAATAGATGGATAGCGACTCAACTGCCTGGAAATACAAGCAAAACGTCGGCATTTCGAGCGAAGGCCCTTCGACTTTGTCTGGAAATTAATAGTAGACGAAGACCGTCCAAAATTATATTATGCTTTGCACCTGTATGGCTGTCCTACAGTTATATATATATTGCAGTATTAAATATAATGACTTAGGAAAAGTAAATAGACCCTTTCCCGTGTTATACACGTTGGCAGGCAAATGTGTTTTAAAAGCTCCAAAGAGTGCTTCGTATTATTATGGTATGATTATATAAACACAATCAGGGGATGTATTATTTTATGTAATCGTAATTTGCCAGCCAGCAAAATATAAACAAGGCAAGGACAGCCAAGCCCAAAGTTTTATACTCTATACTATGGTGACCATACGGTAAAATCATACGACATAGCAGTAATAGCAGTATGGCTTGCCTTATTCTGTTTAGATACCGGTATATGTTATACATTTTACACTTTGTTTTTGAATTTTATATTTTATAGCCGACAGGTTTACAACTTTAATATAGCAATCCGTTTGTTTCTACTGTATTTATTTTTAAATATTTGAATGAATTAGCGTAACATGTCAATCAACCTGTCGTCAACGTAAATTCAGCCAATCACAATTCTCGGCGGCTGGCTGCCGAGAGTATCAATTTTACTAGGGCTTTCGGGCAGGCTCTACTTATAAAAGAGCCGGCCACGCTGGCTACAGTATGTCTTACATGGAGGTAGGGTGACCCTATCATGCGGGTTACCATAGCAAGCGAGTCAGAAAATGCGGTGTCATTTGAAATACTCACCAGGCTGATGTGTATAATCTTGCAACAACATCCTTGTTTGTCTAGCAGTCACAGTAGGACATATAAAACATGACCAGCTTGCAAGCTAACCATACCTGATGCATTTACATGGGTTATCAGCTTATGTAAACAAAAGGATAGCCCTGCAGCTAGGGTCACCCTATCTGATAGGATAACTCTACCCCTAGGGTAACCCTAGTGTGTGTGTAAGCGCAGCCTATAAAACACATTAGACTAGGGTGACCCACTTGCTAGCTAAGGGTAACCCTCCTGATAGGGTCACCCTACCTCCATGTAAACAGGCTGTTAAGAGGCTAACACATCGCATATCGTTAGGCGTGAATCTAGTCAATCTACTGATTAGTATAATATACATCAGGAAAACATCATAAATACATTAATTTAATATTCACAACAACCAGGTTTCTAGGCTGAAAGAAGGTATTCAAGACATAACCTAAAAGGTCTGGACCCCTAGATTTTTTACGCCTTTGGTACTTGCATTCGAAATTCAATCAAATTTTTGCCCTGCCCCCTAATTCCCCCAAAGTTTAGACCCTGGTCGCAACAATTACTATATACTTTTAATATTCATACAGGTTCATACTTCATCCAATGGAAAGAAACAACTGAAGTTGGCTGACTTTGGTCTCGCTGTAGAAGTGAGAGTTCCTTTATTTACAGTGTGTGGAACACCAACATATGTTGCCCCGGAAATACTGGAAGAGACAGGATATGGTCTGAAAGTTGATATCTGGGCGGCTGGAGTTATTCTCTACATCATGTTATGTGGTTTTCCTCCATTCCGTAGTCCCAATAAGGACCAGGATGAGTTGTTTGATCTAATTCTTGCTGGGGATTACGAGTTCCTGGCTCCTTACTGGGACGAAGTGTCAGAAGATGCCAAGGACTTGGTCAGTAAATTATTAGTAGTTGATTCGAAACGGAGATTCACAGCACAGGAGATCCTAAGTCATCATTGGATTCAAGATCACAGGAAAGGAAGCAAAGATGAAGAGCTGTCCACTCCAAAGCGTGATTTTAATGCCAGACGGAAGTTCAAAGGAGCTGCCATTGCTGTAACAAGCTCAAATCGTCTACAGAATATCGTACAGTTTCAGTTTAAACGAGGAGAGAAGCTTCTTGAACAACGTTCCTAATTTGTAAGTTTTAAGATATGTCTGTGTGGTAATTACTAAATTAGTCTTTTCAAATTTCAATAGACATGTGAGGCGTCGAGGGAGTAGATAGGAGGCAGCCTAGACCTAGGCCTTCTATTTTTATTTATATTTTTTTAATATTCAGCGCTTTTTCACATGAAAAGACTGGGACTAGGTAATTTGGGGGCGGGGCGGAGGAAGGACACAAGCCTGACGCAAGCGAAAATATAGAAGGCCTAGTGGATTTCCCAACAACAAGGCCAAAACTGCCCTGAAACTGCCCTGATTGCGAAATGCCCAATTGTTGCGTTCTCAAACAGAATTATTTGCAACTTAACGGCGAATTTAAACCGATACAGGTAAAATAAACTCATTTATAGTATAAACTTACTATTTTTATTTGTATACACGTCTAGAAAATCGTTTTTTTATCATAAAGTTCGAAGCAACACTATTATTTAATATGTTGACAAGGTGTAGCGAAAGAACAAAATGAGTCAAAATATATACCAAAAGTAGAATCTTTCATGAAATTTTGTCTTATACACAAGTACATTAATATATATTTTCTCAATTTTGGCAAGAAGCAGTCTTGTGTTTGTAAAATATACAAAATAAAACGGATACATATATTATTAGCCCGTACAGTACTGTATATAAAAACGTACATTGTTTATACAAATGGTATATCTGTAATATTTGAACACTAATTTCAAATTCCTCATTCCCAATTCGCAAATATAGTTATTCAAAGCAAAACAGTAGATTGTCTTGCGAATAAAAGAATTATTATTTTGTGCCGTTTCGCTACACCTTGTCAACATATATAAATAGTGTTGTTTCAAACTTTATGATAAAAAACCCGATTTTCTAGACGTGTATACAAATAAAAATAGTAAGTTTATACTATAAATGAGTTTATTTTACCTGTATCGGTTTAAATTCGCCGTTAAGTTGCAAATAATTCTGTTTGAGAACGAAATAATTGGGCATTTCGCAACCAGGGCAGTTTCAGGGCAGTTTTGGCCTTGTTGTTGGGAAATCAACTAGGCCTTCTAGGATTGCTTCCTCCGCCCCGCCCCCAAATCACCTAGTCCCAGTCTTTTCATGTGAAAAACCGCTGAATACTAAAAAATATAAATAAGACTAGAAGGCCTAGGTCTAGGCTGGATAGGAGGGATATCTGGAAACTAGGTGTTCATTGGTTTACCTGTCAAATTGAATTAAATTACGTCTCTCGGTTGAACAAAGCACACACTAGCTCTCGCCTGCGCTCCTTCGCCCAGCGGCTACGCTCGTGTTTCAAGATCCGCCATGTAAAGTGTAGTGAAATGTATCTCATCGTAATACTCATCCTAAGAAAACTAAAGCCTCTGCGGAGGAGAGAGACACACTAGTAAAACGTCTACGTTGTCGGATAGCGACTTTTCGGACGAGGTCGGATAGTGACTTTTTCAACCTTTGTAAAAATGCTTAAAAAGCTATAAAATTACGGATATGAACCTCACAACTGATAAAAAGAAACTTCAATATAGAAATACTATTAAATGTTTAATCTGGGTTATACAGTACCAAACAACGGGTTATTTTAGAAACCTTGAAAGAGTCGCTATCCGGCCTAATTCGTACAACCGGCCTTTGGCTGGGACTATCTGAAAGAGAGTTTCTTCCCAAGACTTTGACCAAAAACGATATATATATATATATATATATATATATACAACTAATTCAAAAAAGGTTGTCCTTCAAAACTCATAAACCTTAAGCATTGAGCGCGCAAGGGATGATGGGTGCCGCCCTTTTTAAAATCCTAAACTCGGTAAATTTGCTTTGCAACCATGCTAGGGCATATAATGAATACTTTCGATGTAGAGCTGTTTGGTTTACTAAGCTAATGCCCGATCTAAGGCTCCAAATACTGTAAGCAAAACCCATCATACCTTGCTCAATGTTTAAAGGGGCATTATGATCAAAATTTTTATTCTCTTAAACCAAAGCTTAAACGAAAATGCTCGTAAAACTGTATAATAACTTGTTTTGAAGATTTCTGTTCTCATGCTTAGTTCTTGAGATATTTCTTTTGTTTGTAACCATGTGACGTCATTTACTCAATTACATATATAATGAGATATCAGTAATTGTTGTGTATCTTTGCTATTTTTGATCGATTTGTTAAAAAACACAGTATGCTTAATGATGCAGGTTAAATTAACAAACGCGCCGCATCTTTCGAAATATTTTGATAAAAATAGCAAAGATACTGAACACAGCAATTACTGATATCTCATTATATATGTAATTGAGTAAATGACGTCACATGGTTACAAACAAAATGAAATATCTCAAGAATTAAGCATGGGAACAAAAATCTTCAAAACAAGTTATTATACAGTTTTAAGAGCACTTTCGTTTAAGACAATAAAATTTTTGATCATACTGCCCCTTCAAAGATGATGTCCACTCCTGTGCACATGCGCGAACTTTGTTTACGTTTTGAACTGCTGTATTTGTAAAATATGATATACTAACTGAATATCTAACACTTTTCTGGCTCGCTACACTTGTAAATGTAGTAAATATAAACTGTACGTTTCAATTAAAAAAAGTTCGAAAGATGCAAAATTTGGGCAATCTTTATATCTGGGGGTCCCCCTTTGTTATGAGCAGCACTGATGCGCAGAACGGGGTGGACATCATCTTTAAGGTTTGAGACTTTTTGAAGGACAACCTTTTTTAAATTAGCTGTGTATGGCTAGACAATGGCATGGACTCTGTAGCGCAGTTGGTTAGAGCGCTGTACCAGAATCACGGGGCCGCAAGACGCTCTATAGTTGCATTTTTCGCAGCTGCTCCTGGTTAGGTCTGCATATAATCTTCCGCTCGAAATTTCCATCAACAAAATCCCTTCATATTAAAACTGTATATTTCGAATCTAAATCTGATTCATCTTCAGCAGTGTTTTGCAAGATATATCTTGACATATTTTCAAGACATATCTTGCAAAACACTGCTGAAGATGAATCAGATTTAGATTCGAAATATACAGTTTTAATAAATTGTGTGTTAATGTTATGCACTCCTTATTCGGAATAACTTTTGTTTTATTTTTGCTGAAATTATCAGCCGGAAAAGGATTTTGTTATGTTCACTTGTGCAAAAATACTAAGTAAATTTATTTCATACCTTCCTTTTTTCAGATTATCATAATCATTAATCATTATACAAATCGTATGAAATTCATCAAAGCACTCACTACTCCGTGAAAACAACTGAAACGAACTACCAGAACGTTGGGGGAAGATTTTATCGTATAAGACAACTGTGTTATAAATATAATTGTGTAAGTATGCATGTCCTTAGTGGGTGTGTAATTTTAAAATATAGTGTAAGTGTGTAATTTCAAAATACGATCGTACTTAATAGTTTCTTGCAGAGTAAACGGAACTCGAACAACACATTTTTAATTAATACACACATTCATTGTACGTGATTAAATGCACAAAGTAGTCATTGTTTTATGTGTGAATTTCAGTAAACTGCATGGGTTCACATTCGAAACTGGAGACGTTTCTGGATGTGATGTCATTAGATGAACTGCAAATTAGTTTTCCTTTGCAATTCCATCACTAAATTCATAGACAACACTTCTTGTTATAAATGTAATGGCACTAAAAGGGAGGCTGGTCGCGCGGGGATAATTTTTAAAAAAGTTTTAAAAGAGTTTTAAGGGGCGGAGGGGGGTTTAAAAAGTTAGATTTTCAAAAAAGTTTAAAAAGTTAGGGTTAGGGGTTAGTGGTTGGGGTTAGTGTTAGGTGCAGCGTATTTATTATTATGATAAATTCAAAATGTGCCGCGAATTTATCATAATGATAAATTCGGACGTGTTTAAGAATGTACTCATATAGTAAATTCAGAGGTGGAGCTCATGCTGGGCGTTTGAAATGCGAGCGCCAAAGATGCGAGGAATCTAGGGTCCGAGGGCATCCGGGAAAATTTTGAATTTTTAGATCCACAGTAAGGATTTTGAAAAAAAATTCCAGTGAATAAGGTTAGGGTTGTCATGGGGTAACGATCAAAGCGAAATATATTCGTGAATGTTAAGTTTGCAAGATTTGCTACATGGTGGCAACGACGATAACTGTATGAGTCAGGTACACTGATCTCGAATTTTTCACTGATGCAGGAAATGGGACTGAAATCAGTTCAACGTTACTATAGACAATAGAAATCCTCGAAATATTTCGCTTGATTTCTTTTCAATTGTGACCATCCGAATAAATCAGTTCTACTTGACCGCTCACAATTCAAAAGAAATTGAGCGGAAAATTTTGACAGAGAATTTTTCTTGAAAGTGGAAATCCAGCTCAAGGTACAAAGGGTAAGCCAACCCAACCCCTTTTATTTCTAAAATGTGTTCAAACTGAATAGTACCTGTAGTACAGTATAAAGCGTATCAAGCAAAATGTTTCTGCTATAATACATTATTTAGAAAAGTTACCAGTTGCGCCCTTGTGATAGCTGACGTCTGGCTCCATTTTGGGATGTCGTCAACCTATATGAACAGGTTTTGTGATTGGTTGATTAAAACAATGAAATTCAACACAACTAAGGAATAAATTTTCTAAAGAACAAATCAACAAATCAAACGTGTTCACTTTTGGTTGCTATTCAATAACCACTAAATCCAGTGTTACTATCAGATCAGTGGCCAAATCCTGTTACTAATATTTAAACAATAGATGGAGGAAATGTGAGTTAAATTTTATTTCAAATTGGCTATACCAATGGTATACAAGGATTGACAATCAGGCAATAAGCCACAACAATGATATACAATTTAAGTTTAAATTATTTCAAAGTTAACGTGAACGTGGTTTGACATTCAGTGCAAAAATCTACAAAACGTTTGTCTACATTCAGTCTATTTATCTTCGACTTCGTACTGGAATAATTATCAGAGACGATAGAATCATTAAGCTTTGTTTCCAGGAAACAATAAAAAACCATTAACACATGTGCACAGTCTAGCAATTTTTCAACTAGTGGTTGAAACACCAAAGAATTAAAATTATGATCAAAATTCATATAGCTTTACGAAATACTTGTTAAATTTTAAACTAACGACCATTTTAGTCCAACGATCCTATAAATAAAGGGTGCTATTATACGCAATATTTATTACATGATTTAGCTCATTAACAGTAACAAAGCTTTCTTCTTGGCTGCTTCATCTTCAACCTGATCAACACGCATATTCTCCATATCGTCACGGTGAGCTTGTTTCTCGACAAAATCCAACAACTCTTGAAGTTTTCTATCCAGGACTGCCGTAGCCGGTACTTCGTACTTCTTCTTAACTGGTGGAACATAGGTTGGTTTGAATCCATATTCATGCTCGAAATCAGATACCATTGGTGAAACTGATGAACGGAACCCAAGCCAAGACTTGATACGTGATGACATGTAGTCGACAATCTCGTGCTCATTTTCCTGAAGGTCGTTGTTGCCTTTCACCACTTTGAATGCATCATTGAGGATGACCAAGAACACGTTCATAAGGAGAAATACTACCACAACACAGTAGACAGACAAGACAATTGCGCTAGCGAGAAAGGTATCATGACTTAGATTCATGTACTTGAATTTACCCAGGATGATATTCAGAAGAGTTTCAGTGGTGTTCAAAAAACTAGAAAACATATCGATGTTGGTGTGGAAGAGAAGATAAGCGACGCAAACACATGCTACGAAAGCCACTGTAAAGAGGATAAGGAAATTGAACATATCCCATGTAGCATACTTTAAGGTAGAGCCGAGCAAAGACATACGTCGATTGAAACGGAACAGACGAAGAAACTTGATGGAAGAGAGAAACACCAGGAGGGCAATCACCACTCCATACAACTGGTCGGCAGTTGCAACATAACGGAAACTGACAAAGTTATCTGGATCGTCATTGAACTTCGCTTTGGTCCATTTGTTCGCAATGAAACGGATGATATAGAAAGCCAGGCAGGTCCAACCAACACCAATGATAGACATTTCAATCCAATTCCAAAACTGATACCAATATTGAGCACCTTGTTTAACTAGGTCCTTAACTGCTCTGTAGGTGAAAATCGCGATGGATATTACAAACACAAGTTCACATGCCAAGACGAATATTCTGTAGTTGCCAATCAATTCATCCAATCTTGTGGCTTGGATTCGGAAAGTAGGTGTGCACCCCCCTGATGCGGGACATTCAAACAGGATTGTGATAATACAATGGATATTCTTCCCGGGGTAAAACAATGAGAACTCTATAAACACAGCACGTGTTTGTCCATCAATCCACCAAGTTTCGTTTATCATTTCAAGTTGTTTAATCGCTTCATCTTTATTCTTATCTAACTTGAGGACATAACCACCACCTCTGTAGGTTGCAAGATCAGCCCGGAGCGGTATTTCATATAGTTCACTTTGAGTACTGTACTGCCACATGCTGTTTGAAGCGGAACTGTTGGAAGGTCCCCAGTCAATGGAGTTGTATTTTACTCGATATTCATCAGAAAAGGAGTATTCAGTTTCACATCCATCGAATTTACCCTCGAATTCTTCGGCAATGTCACATTTATCTAGAAGGTACAGGAATAAATTCTTAATAAAAGATATGCCTTACTTGTAGTTAAGTTCGTGCAGACCATATGTGCGCGAAATTAAAATTAAGCGAAAAATAATCCGCGCGAAAACGTGGTCAAATATTGGAATGGAAGTTTCTAACAAGATACTTATAGGGTTAGTAAGACTGTCATCAGGCCTAGGCAAATATTTTCTTTAATTAGCTTACAAGCATTTATATTTCTTCAATACCTCCAAAGTTGTCAGTGCTTTTGTTATTTATGCTTCACAATACGCAGGAAAAACGTCACCTTGGCTATAGAGCTTCATTTTTGTGAGATGTTGGGTGTCACATAAACGAAGACGAGGAGGCGGACAAAGTAACGTACTTTTCGGAAGGGTGTACTGATTTTTATTGTTTGACCATGCCCACGAAAACGCGAGGACACCCATAGTCTTTTTGGACGGCCAATTTGGACACCTGGTTGAAAGCCTGGGTCAATTGTAACGAGAAAAATATGCTCACCGTCCTTAATTCGTAATAGTCTGAGTCTTGCACTCCCAATAAGGTATCCTACTCCATCTGATATGAAACTGCGATGTTTATCAGTCATATTGTTATACCATTTCTCATGATAAAGTCCTGGGATTATCACTTCACGCACCCACATCAACAAATCTCTTTTGTTTTTTGCCTGGAACAGAGAAGAAATCACACAATTACTGATCCATAATTACTCCATAATCATATTCGGATATGGTAGGCTTGATATCAGATTTAATTCTTGCTCAATAGCTCAAATGAACGAGTTAGGGCCTTTTACATCAACCTCGTACCCAGTTCTCAATCTTCGCTCCTACCTCGCTTGAATTGAGATCCTGGTACCGGCTGGTCACCCGACCCGTCATATTTTGGCGGATTTGCTCAATTGTTTTAGGGAAAGTATAGTACGTAGATATTGTAGTAAACATTAATATTGTTAAATAACATTACAAAACAAAACATCTCAGTTACTATCCCTTCCCTATTGCTAAAAACAAATTAGCAAATCCGCCAAAACATGACGGGTCATGTGAACAGCCGAAACCAGGGGCTCAATTCAAGCGAGGTAGGAGCGAAGATTGAGAACCTGGGTACGAGGTTGTTTTTACAAGAGAACAAAACGAAGTCAAATCGAGACGGTAAGACTGCGTTCCGTTAGCCTGAGTATCAATCCCTGTTTTCCCTTCCTTAAAATAGAGCCTGATACTCAGGTTAGCTTTCCGTTCATAATATTGTCTCTGGTTGCTGTTGGGTTAAAAAATCTGGCGTTATGCAGCTAGATGGAGCCATACTGGAACCGACCATCTCGACCAGTGATAGACACTCGAGACAACGAAAGGAACGTTGACTTGAGCAGTTTCAGGAATTATTTTAAAAATTCTTGTTAACTTTGAATTATCATGCGCATGGTTATCATGCCTTTATTACTTGTCAAACCTTCTTGACCAGACTGCCAAGTAATTGAGAACGGCTGGAAATTATAAAACATACCATATAAATATCTTGTTTGTAACTGTCTCTTCGGAAAGTAAAGTTGTCATTATCACCACCAAGATCTACGAATGTTTTTTCCATAGATGTAGACAATATGTGAGCATCTGGTTCACGATGACCATATGCAATCATTAGAACAATCCACCAGAAGAAGAAGAATTGCAGAACTTCATGACAAACACCAAACATTTTTCGCTCCTTTTGACGCAACAGTCTCATCTTTCTTAGTACCAACTCATCCGGTGGTTTTCTTTGACTTCTGGTTCTCACAATGCCATCTGGATTTGCCTACAAATTAAGTGAAATGTTCAGTATATGCATCGTTAAGCAGATGCTACCATCTGGTATGTTTAGTTTACCTCAACTATTAGTCTATTACGTCAATATCATATCGTAGCCAATATCATTCCCTTATTTGTATAGATCATGTAAGCGTTTTCGACTTTTTCAAATTTACAAATGTGTGGTTGGTAAAAAGTATAGCTATTTACCTGTTTAATTCGGGGTTTTCCTTTTTATTATATAAAACATATAGATAAGATTTTGCCGTTGTCTGTTCTGTTATAGACACACAGTATGACATCATAATATGGGAAGAACAAAAAAGTGACCTCCAGGGTTCGAAGTAGAGAAAATATATGGCCTGCCGCCCTGCCAGTCTAAATTTTTTGGCAGGTGAAATAAATTTTAGCCTGCCATTTTTATTCATTGAACTGCCAAAATGGCGATGTCTCATGAGTCATATTGTAAAAACCATTGTTTTCATGATACGCATTTTACTACAGTAAACTTGGATTTACATTTCAACTAAATAAATGTATTTAGTCACCTAAATGATTTAGTACAGTATATATATATATGAGTTGTGGTAAGCAAATGAAATGAAATATATCTATAGAATTTCACCTGCCATCTTTTTTACTTTGGCAGTTCAAATTTGTTTTTGCCTGCCATTTCTAAAATATGGCCTGCTTTTGGCCATTGCAGCCCGCTATTTCGAGCGCTGGTGACCGCCCACGTTTTTGTTCTTCCCACATTATGACGTCATACTGTGTATCTAGAACTGAACAGGCAACGGCAAAATCGTATCTATTTGTTAAGCTGGAGTAATACGAGCAACAAAATTGCTGTAACTTGCAACAAAATCTGATTTTAACGCATGTTAAGTAGAAATGTTGACACATGTTGCCTCGTGATTTGTAATGTATGTGTAGACATTTTCAATTAACATGCGTAGAAATCAGATTTTGTTGCAAGTTGCAGCAATTTTGTTGTCCGTATTACTACACCTTTAAACAAATACTAGCAGGTTGTCACGTGGTTAGCAGGAACCCAAAGGTGGTTTACTAAGACAGCATTTGCTATACTGAACCAGAAGGATGCGTTTAAAATGCTAGCAGATTCTACTTACATGAGTTTATCAAGTACAGGGAAGTTATCTTACCTAAGTATTATAAATCGCTGCGATCAACCTGCAGTAGCGGGTAAGGGACAGCACCGTTAACTGCATTTGAGAGAAGTATTCTTGCTTCCACTATTCAATATCCAATCTCAACCTAATTTCTACTTGTGTTAAAAGTAAGACAGCTTCATAATCACGTTTTCTGCTTTTGCTAAAGGTAAGACACTTTCTCACATTATGCCTTTTCTACTTCTACTTTTTCTAAAGAAAAGACACTTACTTTATGCATACTCTCTTCAATCCACTTTTCATCTTGTATTAATTTATCATTCTCTTCATTGACGTCGACATTGTTTGGTTTTCTGATAACAAACGCAACAAACAAAGACAAGGCGAAGATTTTGATTGGTTGAGACACGAGAATATCTTGAAACACTGAGATAACCAATGCTGTTAACCATTGCTCTTGTCGTCGTTTACCAAACTGAAGACCATACAGTATGGTGAAGAAACCAGCAGCAGCACTGGTGGCGATCACCAAGAACCAAGCAATAAATACAAACCACCAAGGAAGAAGACGCATTCTTACAGCAGCTTGTTGGGTTTCTACATTTGGAGTTTGATCTGAAACAATTTAAACAAGTTTACACAACGTGACCATAAACAAAGTGTGTTTTTGACACTACAAACCTTTTCAAATTTATATTAAAGTCATCATCAATCCATCTTCAAAATAAAGTCGAGAATTCAAATCTGAATATTAATCTCTTGAATTTTCAAGATGGCAATTATCTTCGGAATTTACATAACAATGGACAACGAACAGACTGAGGTCAGACACACCACGAGCATATGCCCACAAGTGTTGATTTTTATATTAGGTTTACCATTCAGGATTTTACAACCAATTTGATAAAGCTAGGTCTTCAATGATAGTACCTCTTTTCCCAATAATGTTAATACCTTATTGCAGAGTGTTGGTCAGGTCTGGTTTTTAATGTACATGCGACCTTTCATCTCATATTCCAGTGCTAAACTAAAAGTGCGAATAAAATTGCCCTTTATATGTCGGTTATGTATAAAGCAATTCTTAAAACATTGCTCCTCATCAACATTGTTCCTCATCAACATGTTACAGTACTTTCCTTCTCTTCTAATGACATTCTTTCTCATGTAATATAGCAGGAATATAACCTCGTACCCAGGGCCTTTGCGCGGTTCAGAGGCTCTGGAACGCAAAAGGCTCTGGGTACGAGGCTGGCAGGAATATACCAAGAACATGAAATATCTCAAAAACGAAACATGGAAAAAACAGTGTAGTCTACAGTTTTAAGAATTCTTTCATTTAAAACAAAACCCTGTTTTTTGTCCATATGCACTTTAGGCCACATAAAAAAAATTACTTGTTTAGCGTCCACCCATTTTAATTTTTCTAGGTCGGGCGGACGGATTTTTTTTTTTTTTCCGTAAAATGCAACACAAAATTCTGCTAAATGCAGGAAATCCAGTATATTACCACAGTCAAAACTCACTTTAATTCTTTCAAAATCCGTTCATGTTTTCAACTTCCCGTTCATGTTTTTAATAAAACAGAAAATTACCGTTTGGCGGTCACGCGCGAACACTTTAGCTGCGAACAGGCATATTCTGGGAAGGAAACTTTGTGTAAACGTATTACATAGCTCCCAGAAGAATAAAATCACCATTTTTTCAAGTAAAACGGTCTTTTTTATAGAGTTTTTCCACTAAACCCGGACAGATTTAAAAAAAAAAAAAAAAAAAAATTGGAGGTCGGGGACTTTTATCAGGTCGGGCGGGGACGCTAAACAAGTAATTTTTTTTATGTGGCCTTAGCTAGTTTTGTAGTTACTCTCACCTGCTTGATTCTTATTTTGCGCTTTCTTCGTGTTCTTCTTTTCCATGCCAATCTCGCCCAAACTAATGGCAATGCCTGTTTTCTTGGGTTTTCCTGAACTGTTGCCACTCATGTACTTGGAACTTTTTGTTGGTCTGACAGCAATACGTCTGAATATGCTTACGATGAGCAAATTGATTGGAAATACTATCAAACTTGACTGTATTCCCACCATAACCTCATGCCAGGTAAACTTATATGGACCAACATCAACGTCGACATTATTCTCCGCGGCTACAGGTACTTTAAAAAACATCGCGTTCACTAACATAGTACATAGGAGAAGACACAAGCAGCACGTGACTCGTTGCGCATGCGTAAAACGACTTTGGGCTGGACGGAGAACAATTGAAAACCACAAGTGTCCATCACTGAATCCTTCTGTAGAATTTTGCATGAACAAATATTGGAAATCTTTGAGTTCCTCTGTGCTAGCAACTGCTATAAGTCTTTCGACTAAACCATCACCTTCGTCACATGCCAGCCAACTGTTGCATAAAAAGAAGTATTGTTCTCCAGTCTCAACATCACGGATAATTACCTCAGACAAGAACCACGAAGGGTCAGAACCAGTGTTATCATGCCAGATACGTATATACTGCAAGGAACCAAGATCGTATGCCGTAGTAACAAGATATGAGTCCTGCGAGGTTCTCTTGAAGGAGACAGAAGATGTTCTTTGCAATAAACGTGGTTCGCCGTCACCATTATCCCCAGTTATTATAATGGATACTTCAGCGGTTGAACCGGCATTTCGTCGACTGCCTGTAAATAGGGTCACTTCATATCTGTGATTGTCATATGGTTCATTATCAGCAGCACAGTGGAGTGTAGCCTGGAAAATGATTCGAATTAAATTATAAACAAAAACACAGCATAACACAACGCAGCGCAACACAACACAACACAACACAGGACAACACAACACAACACAGGACAACGCAACGCAACACAACACAACACAGCATGATTTGATAGGCTGAGCTAATAATTAAAATCAGTCAATCACCCCAGACACATTAAACTTTTGCGTGAATGTGTCTGTAATCATACAGTACATTATAAGTTTTGAAGGATTTGTAAGAAATATTTGAGGGAAGTAACTTCAATCGCGGACAAAACCTGTTAATACAACTCGCAGTTATGTACATTTTTGTTCAATATTCGTTAATACATGCGCATCATGCCACATAGGCCCCCTCTCCCCCCGGAACAATGTTGCAGTAATGGGTCTATAGTGTGGGGATGGCGAATCCAACATTGAATGGGGGAAAGGGGGGCAGAATGTGGAATACAATTTGGTTAATGCAATTTCATTATGATATTAATTAGTTTTATTAACAGTTTTGTCCACGATTGTTGGTGGTGTCAGTTTCCTCGGAGATATCTTACAAATCCTTCAAAACTTAGAATTTACCCATGCAAAATTCTTACTGTGATCACAGAAACTTTGATAGTGTAAAACAGCCTTTAAACATTGCCTGTATGGGTGATACACTTGAAAATATTTGACATGCAAATATATTGACTACGTATGAAATTATCACTAACCTTGCAAGTCTTTTTCCTATCTTTTCTGAGTGCCCAGATCATTCCAATGAGATACAGTCCACCAATGACACAGATAGTTGCTAGAAGTGCAGGATAATCAGCAAGATTTGCCAAGTTACCGATCTGTTTCGCAACATCTAACTTATTTGGTGCAACAAAGAAATTCGAACCAAATAACGTTGCGTGGTTACAAAGACATTGCACCAACTTCGTCGTTGAATTAGGAGAAGGCTAAAAACAAGACAAATACCATAAAATATAAGTTAGAAAATGCAGTTAGAAACCATTTTTGTTGGGTTTAAATAACCACTACGGGGAGGAGATGGTGACAATTTCAAAACTTTTTTCTGTGTTGGTGTTGTGTACTCAGGTGAATAATATGTTTGCGATGTTACTCTGAGTGCATATCCACACCGGGCGAGCTTAGTGCATATCCACACCGGGCGAGCGCGTAGCTCAGTTGGAAGAGCATTGGGCTAGTATTCCAAAGGTCGTAGGTTCGAATCCCACCGTGGCCGGGCATATTTTTCAAGCTCACCCGGTGTGGATATGCACTCAGAGTAACATCGCAAACATATTATTCACCTGAGTACACAACACCAACACAGAAAAATTCATATTACAAGAACACATTTGTATTGAAGGAACTAGATACTGTTCCGAAATATCACTTACTCGAACCGTCCTGACCGCGTAGCTCAGTTGGAAGAGCATTGGGCTAGTATTCCAAAGGTCGTAGGTTCGAATCCCACCGTGGCCGGGCATATTTTTCAAGCTCGCCCGGTGTGGATATGCACTCAGAGTAACATCACAAACATATTATTTACCTGAGTACACAACACCAGCACAGAAAAAAATTCTTATTATGAGTTGTTCTAATAAAAACTATTGTTTTTGATATGCATATTTAATTTTTAAAATTACAGTCATTCTTTGTTAAAATGTGTACCAGGAATACTGAAATCTTTCAGATCAGCTACCAATTCTCTTTATAACTTATGTAGCCAAGTGTTCTATCTATTTCTGTTCAGATTAAACAAATGATGGGTAAAATATTAGTTTAGATTCTTTCAAAAAAATGAGCTTGCCTATTTTGAAAGCATAAAAAGCAATAAAATAAAGCAAAAGTACTTATTTTTAATTTAAAACCTTTGGCATGGATTGCATAGCTTAATATTTTCCACTAAATATTACAAAGTTTTCGTTCATTAAAATGTTGTTTTATCAGCTTTAAAACCAGATAAATCCACGAAGCACTCCTAATATATGTCGCCATATTGATTTTTTCGCGCATGCTCCGTACAAAATGCCCAGCTGTTCCTTCCATGTATATAGTTCACTGAGTGAATACTATAGAGGTTGCCTGTGTTATGAGTCGAATGAGTCTATGAGTTATGAGTTATGAGTCAATGAGTCATGAGTCAGTTCAAAAACAATTCTTGACTCAGCAACCAAAATGTCTTTAAATTTCAAAACCTACATAACTAATAAGGATATCACACACTTTGGATATAAAACCTTGTCATTGTTAATAGCAGTGAACGGCATATTCAGGATCTGTTAATCGACGAAGTGAAGACTGGATACGTAGCTGTATACAGACAAATCCATCGCCTGCAAGACAGCATTCTCTGATATGAATCCATGCTTGTTTTCGCTCTTTCAACGCTTTTAATCACGAAAAAGTATGGAAACGTACAATACTAATCACCATCTTGTGTTCATAGAATCGCTCTCACAAGCACCACAAACACGTCTAATCGTACTTGTGTGTCAGTTAACGAACAGGACATTAATGAGGAACTTACTTCAGCAAAAGAATGTTATTATATAAGTTAAAACCCCGTTAAAGCAATGACAATGTTGCTGTTGCTTATTTGAAGTAGAGAGTATACTGTTATTGTTATATTGTTATTTTCATTAAAACTGTTCAGAACATGAATCGTGTCGAAATGAAAAGTTTGTAGTTTACAGTGAGACTTCGAAGAATGAAACCCCATTACCGGCATGAAACTAGAAAGAGCATCTTCAAATTACGATAAAATTCATAAATTGCAAAGTTTTGTAGCGAAATTGTTGTAAAATGAGGAAAATATAGCCCTGTGGAGTTCGTATATATCTATTACGTGTGGGAAAAATAACCTTTTGAACCGCAAGGCAAGCTCTCAAATTCCCATTTATGAATGTATGAGTGCTTTCAAGCGACTACTAGTACTGATGTTTAGACACTGAAAAGCTTTCCCGTAAGGCAGAATGTTATCAGTATTTCATCCGATTTTTATCTTATTTAATTACACAAAATTTCGTAAAACTCTGTCCATTATTTCTGTAAATATTTTGCGTACAGACAGACAAACCGACGGACAAAGGAACAAACAAAAAAATAACCTCCTGGTGGACATAAAAATGGAGAAATTACAAAAAGTTAAATACAATAAAACCCGATATTTTAGACTCATAACTCATTGACTCATAACTCATTGACTCATAACTCACAACTCATTGACTCATAAGACTCACTTGAACATTAATCTCGCAAAATCGAGTTCTCGTTCGGCTATACATAACTCGGCCAAAGAGACTGGACACAAGTAATCGCAATACTTCATGTTAAGAATAGTGTGCTGCCTTCGGCAGCAACAAGTGCGTGCGAGTAAAACCCGATACTTGAAAAATTCAAAATAAATATTTCTACTCGCCGTATTCATACGAAACTTTCTACACGAAAGTGCTTGAATACAAAGAGTATTTTACACATATATCCTTTCAGAAAATGACACCAAAGTTTAGAATATATTCAACTTTTTCTCTTTTTCTCGTTTGAATGTTTGGCGAAGCGGTGAGTATAAATATATGATTGTTTCGGTTTGTGTAATGTTTTGACGGCACTTGACCCCCCGTTCGAAAGGTTATATTGTGAGGATTTCAATGGTGGCATTTATTTAAAAGGGGGGGTAAATACTCGCCGAGATATTTATATACATTATGTTGGTTTGACCATGAAATCACAGAGAAAACCGAAGTTTTGCGTCGTAATAATGAGTGCCACTGTGCGAGGACTGAAGATGTGAACGCCAGACTGAACTGAGATAGCATTAAATGTACGTACTGATGATGGCATGACTAATGGTGCTGGTAATGTTGTTAAAAAGATACAATTGAATCAAATAGATAAACCTTCCGGTATAATATGGGTCCAATTTGACCATTCAGATGTTGGAGAGAAGTCCAGACATGAAAATAGACATCTTTATGTTCAAGGTATTGAGTCCACATGGACTCCAATAAAGCCAATCACAACTCAGTTTGCTGTGGGTAGAAACCAAACTGCACTAGTCGTTAGAAAACAGTTTCCACTTAGACCTGCTGCGGCTAAGACAATTCACCGTTCATATTAAGGTGACACTGAACAAAAAATTGTTGTAAATTTCAACACCAGAAGATCAATACCACATATTATACATTATGTTGCAGGGCCGTAGCAACCGGGGGGGGGGCTGGGGGGCTGCAGCCCCCCCCCAATAATTTGCTAATAATCATTCTTTTTTCAAAATCATGCAAACTTTATCATTTAATCTGTGACAAACTGCAAAGAATGAAGATATTACTCATACTCCAGATCGTTCCTCGCGTAGAAATTTTAGCTGAATTTCTGTCGCGCATTTTCAAGAAAATCCCACAAAATCTGCACATTTTTGATGAACTAATGATTTATTTTGTCTTTTGCGTGTTGGGTCTTGCGAAAGAAAACTCTAAAAATGCCATTTCAGACCATCTAGAGACTCCAGATTTTCGAAATTTTCTCAAATGTTCTGCCTTCATTTCCGCGCAACTGCCATTTACGACGAAAATTCCCGCCGCGCATTTATAATACTACAGTCTGGCCCATACTTTCCTGTAAATTTCGACACACTAAAACGCTGTTTTCTGACTATCAGAATTCTGTTAAATCTTCCCCCAAAGTCCAGGAAATGGCATTTTAGAGACTCTAAATTTAAAAATTTCCTCGGGCCTTCGGCCCTCGCTTTCAGCCCCCCCAATCGAAAAGAGCTTCCTACGGCCCTGTGTTGGTTTGAGCAGGGTAACAGCAATTGAAGGTTTATTTATCACTGACCTTTGTGAAGATAAAATAGCTGTCAATCCTCATGTAGCAGCTGAAATGGAACATTTGAGAAATGAACGTGTACTAAAACTAAGTGTAACTCCTATTTATAAGACAGATCAAGTCTCATTCAAACTGTGCTATCTAAACGCACGGTCGTTGCATAAACACATTGATGATATTCGGCATGATTTTAATTTTGCTAATACAGACATCAATATTTTTTCTGAAACTCGATGTATGCGCTCGGATAATGCCAGTATGTATGATATCGATGGTTAAAATGAGCTTGCCTATTTTGAAAGCATAAAAAGCAATAAAATAAAGCAAAAGTACTTATTTTTAATTTAAAACCTTTGGATTGCATAGCTTAATGTTTTCCACTAAATATTACAAAGTTTTCGTTCGTTAAAATGTTGTTTTATCAGCTTTAAAACCAGATAAATCCACGAAGCACTCCTAATATATGTCGCCATATTGATTTTTTCGCGCATGCTCCGTACAAAATGCCCAGCTGTTCCTTCCATGTATATAGTTCACTGAGTGAATACTATAGATTTCTATTACAGAATGTATAGTTTTCGCTTTAAAACGCTTATTTTCTTCTCTTGGACCGAAACAAACCTTGTTTCAGGAAAGGAATATACAACACGAATGCTTCAAGAAGTAAATTTGAAGTTTTTAACCATGAAATCACAGAGAAAACCGACGTTTTGCGTCGTAGGCTAATAATGAGTGCCACTCTGCGAGGACTGAAGATGTGAACGCCAGACTCGTCAATGCAGGCTAAAAATTTTATTTTAACAACTTTATTGGTTAATAACTTAATATTTGTAAATATGTACAAATACATTTGAAAATAACCAATCGGCAAAGGCGCGAACGGGACTGAAGTACCCATGCGCCTCGCCTTCCCGTTAAAATATAACGTTAAAATAACATAGGTCAACATAAGACTAAATAGTAAATTATACTGTATGTAAAGCCAGTTCTCAGTGGCAAGAACAGTCACGAGACAGCGTCCATGTGCACGGGAAGTCTATGTCAAAGGATGCATTGAATAAAGTCAGGTATGTTTGCTTGAGTAATTGTTTAAATGATGAGATGTTGGAAAAGCCGTGCACAGGAGCTGATTTGCAAATACTATTCCAGAGTTTGACAATCCGGTTGTAAAAGGATGCCTGAAAAGCGTTTGTCTTACAACGTGGAGCTTTCGTAACTAAAGGAATCTGGTTGTGTCTGGTGCGGCCATGGCCTATAAATGCAATATATTTATTGACGTTCACGTCGATGTACCCATATAGGGCCTTGTAGAAAAAGGTTAGGTCTTTGATTTCTCTGTCGTAGCATAAAGGCAATAAGTGGAGCAACTGCAATCTTTGGTGGTAAGACATTTCTTTGCCTTTGTAACCGAAGATCCATTTGGTAGCTCGCCTCTGTACTCTTTCAAGCTTGGCTTTTAGCATGTCCTGCGCCGGGGACCAAACTTGGGTAGCATAACATAACTGTGACTTGACAAGAGATAAGTATAATGTCCGTCTCACTTGAAAATCGTAACGATGAGAAATGGCCACATACTCGTCAAATAGAAATTATCGGTCGAAATCACATTCTTCCACCGTTGGGAATTGGATGGGTAATTAATAGCTTTATTAGCATGACCATAAATTTACAGTATTGCTAAAGCATTACAAACAATATATAGAAGAAACTATGATAAACTAGGACTATTACAGATTACTATTTGTGGAATGATTTATAATAGACTAATACAATATTAAGAAAAATTAAGAGGAAAGAAAGAAGACAAGTATGCTATTTACAAATAAGGTGGTTATTACAACCTTTGCTAATCCGCATTCCTGGTTTCAGGGTATTTAAGTCTTTGCTTGAAACATGAATAAACAAATTTTGAAAGTTTGATTATGATTTCACTATCAGTTGATTTCATTAGGTCCGCTGATAGAGTTTGAGAGTTTAGATTAATCTCGTCAGATGAAGCATTCTCTAATGAACTTCGAAGGTTTGCACGAGATTGCTCATAGGCTTTGCAAGAGAGAAGGAGATGGATTTCATTTTCCACCTCTCCTGAATTGCAGATTTTACATAAGCGTTCTTCACGGAGTATATTTTGATAGCGCCCGATCTCAATTTGGAGGTTATGGTTGCTGACTCTAAGTCTTGAAAGACATTTTCTTTTGTATGGATCTTTTATAAATACTAGGTAGTTTTCGAGGTTGTGGTCAGTTTTGAATGTTGAGTACAAAGTCAGTTTGGATGAATTTTCAAGTTTATGTTTCCGAAATGTTAAGTATTTTTTCTCAAGGGTTTTGGTAATAGTTTTAATATGTTCAGTCGTTACGGCTTCTAAATTAAGGATTTCTTCATTTAGATTTAAGTTTTTGATAGTATCCATTGCATTTCCGTAAAAAGACATTTTCTGCTTGGAGTGCAGATCTTTCGAGATTAGAAAAGCTTGCTTCGCAATGGTTGTTTGGGGAAGTGAGTTTAAGTGAGTGATGTATTTGAAGACCCTTTTGAATACGTTAATGATGAGAGTGATCGGAGTTTTCCAAGCTCAGCTCTGGAGGCATGCAATGTTACTTGCTTTCCTACTGACAGCGAGGTAAATTTTACAGACCTTAAGATGAACTTTTTCAATTGGTGATTTATCCCAATTGTTGCATGAAATCATTTTTCACGTATGTCCCCCATACTTCCGAGTTGTATAGTAGGATAGGAGTTATAATTGAAAATTTGAAATGGCATATTTGGGATTGAGATGGCTGAAATTGAGCTGTCTTCTTATACCGTATAAAGCATGCAAGGCTTTTTCGCTTAGTTGTTTTAGAGCTAGAGTAAAATTACCATTGTGGTTTAG